TTTTTTTTTAGTGTGGCTAGTTGGAGTTCTATATTCCTCACTTATCTGTATGTCTAATTCTTCCCCTCTGTTTGGGAAGTTTTCTGTCATTAATTCCGTGAAGAGCTTTTTTTAAGTCATTTGTGTTTTCTCCTGCTATTTCATGGATTCCTATCAGTCTTATGTTATTTTTCTTTGCATCATCTAGAAGTTGTTGGATTGATTTCTCATGATCCCTTACTGTTTTTGAGAGACCTCTCTTTTCATGGTCACTGACTGCAATCCTATCTTCTATATCTCAAATTCTTTCTTCACAATCTTTTACTCTGTTGTGTACACTTTTAATAGCGCTCTTAATCTCCTGGATATTTGTTTGAATTTGTTTTATGGATTCCATTTCTTTCCTCTGTTGGGCATTCATTGTTTCCATTTCTTTCTTATGCTGAGTCTTCATGGCTTCCATAATGGTCTTGGACTCATCTATTTTTTTGTCAGTTTCTGTTCTAGATTCTTGAATCATGTCTTCCATTTTGCTCACCATCTCTATGTTTAACTGGGAAATGATTTCTGATTTGAAATTTTCTAGAGCCTGATTAATCTGTTTTGTTATCTCCTGTGCTATGGGTCTAGGGTGTCCTGCTGGTTCACTATCAGACTTTTCATCCTCATTTGCCCTACTGTTTGCCATTGGTGAATGGGAAGTCTGTCTCTGTGTCTTGCTTAAATGTTTTCTCATTTTTATTTTTGTTGTTGGGTTGTCCTTGGTTTAATTTCTTGGTTATTCCTTAAATCTTCATGATACAGTTCCGCTTTCTCTTTTGAGTCTCTAATGACTCATAGACATCCTCATTTTCATAACATCAGAGAAAACAACTCATCAAATCAATCACAATCTTTTATCCCAATTGATACATTCAGCAACCCAATAGGATCAAGCACAGCTTGCAAATTGTCCACTTGTGGTAGTCGTTAATCTATCACCTTTAAACCATGTGAATTAAAGTAATAAAAAGGGAAAAGAAAAAATGTAATATAATGAAAAGATGGAAATAAAGTGGTTGTAGATGGGTAGCGGAGGAGGGGGTGAAGGGAGATCAGGGACAAGGGGAAAAAATGAGAACCAAGACTTGTCATGTAGAGGTACAAGATCCCAATAATGAATGTAACTGCACTGTATCCCTAAAATGTACCAATAAACTCAATCAAAGCTGGAAAAAAAAAAGAAAAAGAAGAAGAAGCCCAATTATGTTTGCAGTAAATATGCTTTTCAATATAGCCATCTTTACCATTTAGGATGGGGGCTTAGACTGAGTTAAGATGAGAAGCGTAGATAAATGAAAGAAATTGAGAATGATTCACATGAAGCCAGAGGACGTAGAATGACCATACAATCTTTACCGAAACTATTAACTTCAAAGGGGATAGACAGAGTGCAGGAATAAGGACAGAATATATCCCCTTAACAGTAACAGGGGCTTGCCTTCCCTTGAAGCTACAGAGCCTCGAGTGAGGTAAAATGACAGGAGAAAAATAACATAAATAAATAAAGAAAAAATGATAAAAGAAGAAGTCTGAGTTAGGGCAGGAGCAGGAATAAAAAGAGATGAAGGATAATATGGTGGAGCAAGAAACTGAGTTGGAAAAAGAGGACAGAAAAAATAAAGAAATTGCAGGGTGGAATGAGAAAAAGAAAAAAAAAAAGAATTTGAAGGGCCTCTTTCAGACTATGTCTCTTCTGTCATATTATACCACGTGTACAGCCATGTGCAGAACCAAATCCCCTGATCTCAGCTAGCCAAAGGCAGGTCCCCGTGACTCAGACTGACCTCAGTACACAAGGCCAAACTTGAGTTTCCCAACCCGCAGGGCTGAATTCCACTCAGTTCCATTACAGGTTTCCCCTTCCCTTTCCTTAAAGATGTTCAAAGTTGGGAGCTCAGAAAAACACCCTTCATGACCACCTATGCCTCTGCACAGTGGGTCCAAGTACTGGCCCAATGAGGAGGTTTGAGAAGGGGATTTCAGGTCTTTGGGGTGTTTCAAGGCCGCCCACGTGGCTACTTTCCTTGCTGGATCTGGTGGCATGCAGTCAGGGAGGTCATAGACCCATGGGGTGGGCCTGAGCAGGTGGCCCTTCAATCATTTTCATAAGAAAGCATTTATTTACCATTTACTGACAATTTCTTGCAAGACTTTTTGTTATTCAGTGTAGTCATTTCAATCTTTTTATAGTAGTGCATTTCATTTAAATTTATTTTAATAGTAATATTGGATGTGTGACTAGACTATATTGTTTTTAGTGGCAACAATTATAATGATTGGTACCAAAGACAGCATATAGGGCCAGGGATTTAGCTCAATAGTTATGCTTCCTGCCTTGCAAATACGAGGACCTCAGTTTGATCTCCGGTACCAAAAAAAAAGAAAAGAAAGAAAAAAGAAAAAGAAAAGAAAAGAGAAATAGCATATAGATTTTCCATGATTAACTGATAAAAATAAATATGGAAAGAACACATGAAAATTAAGGAAGAGGACCCATAACAGAACAAAAATATATGAGCATGTGCATGCACACAAAGTAAATTAAGAGAACTGTTCAACATCAATAAAATTTAAGAAGAATATAAAGATTAATAAGATGAAGTTGTGCTGAAAGAAAATGAAAGCTTGGGAATGGATAAAAGCCAAAGGCAGGATTCAACGAGTTGAGGAGAAACAGAGTTAATGTGGGAAAGGGTAAATTAGTCTTATGTGAAATAAATAGGACACACATGTGTAAATACCGAATAGTTTCTCTGGTGTGAAAAAATAAAACTGACAACAAGGTTTAAATTGTGTAATTTATAATATGCAATAGGAAGAAAAGGGCTAAAGGTGTAGGGGAAATGGGAAGGGTAGAGGAAAGGAAAGAAGGGAAAAGAAAAAATATAAGAAAAGGAAAAAATGGAAACATAGTCTTGTAAATAGGGGAAGGTGGAGTGGGTGAAGGGAGGGCAGGGGTATGGGGAAAAAACAAGAAACAAGACCTGTCATGTAAAGGTACAAGATCCCAATGATGAATATAACTGTACTGTATGCCTAAAAAGTACCAACAAACTTAATGAAAAAAATTAGTCTTCTCTCATACATAAGAACTTATATAAGATAATATGATACTGGCATCTTCATTCTGTCCACAATTAAACTAAAGTCATATTTCTAAGATATCCTCTGGGATAAGCAGGGACCACAACAGGGAACAGTTGAAGGATAAATGCTTTATTTGTTGGTTTTCAGTAAACTGACTCTGCCAATTTAGGTGATTTATAATACTTAGTTTTTTAGTGAGTTGTTACTATGAAATACCTGCACTAAATATATCAAATATAAGTCCATAAAAAGTCTGTAAGATATTTATTTATTTATGCCTATTCTGACATCATATTCACTAGTTTCCAAAAGCAAATAGGCAATACAAAGACCAGTAGTACTCTGAATAAACTAACTCTAGTAAAAATTGAAAAATAATTTTGGAAAATTCCTATTATGATCCTATGGAAGAAAGCATTAGTAACCACATAGAACAAGTGAAGAACAAATAAAGAGTATCACTTCTATGCCTAATATGAGCTCTTCATTAGCCATGCTAAGAATAACATAGTCAAACCTAAAAAAATTCTGTAAAAGCAAATTTGTGTTTATCAATTAAATTATTTAAAGAATGGGTTTATATCCATTGTTTTTAACAAAGAATTTTCATTGTGAGCAATGCTTAGTGATAACCTAAAGCTCTTCCAAACAGTAAGTCATTTGTAAACTCAACACCCAAAATGTGCAAACAAACATCTAAAATCAGTGAACAGGTTTTTACAAAATTATCATCATAATTCAGTGACCAATAGAAAATAGTGAACTTGTTAAATTTCACCTCCCACATCTTTTTTAGCCACCATTATCATTAGAATATGTATTAAACAACATAAATTGAATTTAGAATAAGATATTTAATTATGTCAAAATATTTTTTAAAAATAGTAAACATAACAAAGTACATTTATATACAAATATTTATATTTCCAAGTTAGAAGAAAACAAATTAACAAAATGGATTATACTAGCTTTAATGCACAAAGTTTTGAATTTGTATCTAATGTGTTTTAATATTACATTCTAGCAGATTTCCAGTTTATTAACTACAGGAATAAATATAAAGATGTGGTTTTTCTATAAAATGGAATACTACTCAGGCATAAAGAATGAGAAATTAGAGTCATTCATAGGAAAATGGATGCATATTGAGGTTATACTCTTAAATGAAATAAATAAGTCACACAGGTGTAAATACCGAATAATTTCTCTGGTGTGAAAAACTATAACTGTACATAATATCCTAATGGTATAATTGACAAAGTGAAATAGGAAAAAGTGTAGGGGAAGTGGAAAGGGTAGGGGAAAGGAAATAAAGGAAAAGAAAAAAATCTGAGAAAACAACAAAAAAAATGGAAATAAAGTTTTTGTAAATAGGGAAGGGAAGAGGGGGTGAAGGAGGGCAGGGGTATGGGAAAAAATGAGAACCAAGACCTGTCATGTGAAGGTACAAGATCCCAATGATGAATGTAACTGTACTGTATACCAAAAAAAGTACTAATAAACTCAATGAGAAAAAAAAATAGAGATAAAAATAGAAAATGATACAGGATAGTAGTCTTATTTGTGAGGTGATTAAATGTAACTTATTGTATTTAATTTATATCTTAATTCAGCATGAAGAAAATCTGAAGTACTATTTATATTTAGAAACTTGTGACAATTGGAATTACAGAATAAACTCTGTAATTAATTTACAATAAATGATTAATGTCTAACAAAACAAAACAAATCAAAGTACATTTAAATATATTAATTACTAAATACCATTGTAACAAGTTGAGTGGAAGCAAAAATCTATTTTATTAATACTTAGTTGTATTTGATATCACATTTCTTCTTAATGACTACTTTTTCCTGTATCTTATACAAAGATGTACAGACATGTAAATATGTAAAAACAAATGCACTTGATTATTTTTTGTATGCTTTTACCTTCTAGTTTAAAATACCAAGGAAAGCAACCATTTCAATCAAGCTGTATTTACTGTGTATCTAGCAAGTACACAATTTTCAAATAATTTATTAGCATGAGATTTACTGGATCACTTCTAAAATACATACTTTTTGTTTGAAAAGAATATTCTTGAAAAGTTTCCTTAAAATTAACTTTAGATTTTCCATGAGTGTAGATTAATAATTGTTTGCTTTGTGTTTTACTAGAAAATTGCTAAAATAATTACAAATTATTACAATAATTACAATTACAATTACAGCATAACTTCATATAAACTTAAGACAGACCCATAAATGGAGATTCTAAGAAGAAATTATAACAGTTTTTACTGAATAATACATTAGAGAATACAGACACACTAAAGCACAATTTTAGAAAGAAACAAAATATCCATAGGGACATACCTACATGTCGCTATCCTACTTACAGGAAAAGTAACATTGATTGTCAGGTGACGATGAATAGCTAAAGATCCAAGATTTTAAAAATTCCTTGTGGAAAATTGAATCCAAATGTCTTCCTTTTATAAATGTGGTCAGAGATAAACTCAGTGAATTTCCTATTTCTGAATGTGTTACAGGCAGAACGCAAACACGGATGGAGTTTCTATTCTGGTGTTTTTATTGCCACTAAAAATCTGCATTTATACAGTGAATTTCTTCATTGATATCCCATGATTTGTTCTGCAAACAACAAAATCACTCTCTTTTGCATAACCTAGTATATAAACATGATTTCAATGACACAGTCACTTAGACAATACAATATATTCTTTGTTGTTGGACTACACTAGTTATACGTCAATGCTTATAGCCAATTACTGGAGAATTATATCTACTGACTAAACACAACCATATTGTAAGACTAAATAATGGAGTGATCTCTCATTTAATTTCATAGAATAAGTGTGTTTAAAAGTAGTAAAATTTATTTCATGATTCCGTTTCTGCTATTAAAATCTAGTCTCCCAAGTGCAACCACTATGGAAATCAATATGGAGATACCTCAAAGAGCTTGGACTGGAGGTTCCATTTGACCCAGCCATCCCTCTGTTGGGTATCTTTCCAAGAGAACTAAAAGAATCATATCACAGAGAAGTATGTGCACCCATGTTTATAGCGGCACAGTTTGTAATAGCTAAATCTTGGAAACAACCTATTTGCCCATCCGTTGGAAACTGGATAAAGAAGTTGTGGTTTTTCTATAAAATGGAATATTACTCAGCCATAAAGAGCGAGAAAATAGATTCATTCATAGGAAAATGGATACATATTGAAGATATACTCCTAAGTGAAATAAATAAGTCCCACATGTGTAAATACCAAATAGTTTCCCTGGTGTGAATATTCTGCAACAATGCATAAGATTCTAATAAGATTACTGACATTTAGAAATTTGAAGAAAGGAGCTAAAGGTGTAGGGAAGGTGTGATGCGTAGGGGAAGAACAAAAAGGGAAAAGAAAAAAATGTGAGAGAATGAAAAGAGGAAAATAAAGTGTTTGTAGATGGGGAGGGGAGGAGGGGGTGAAGGGAGGGCAGAGGTAAGGGGAAAAAATGAGAATCAAGGCTTGCCATGTAAAGGTACAGGATCCCAACAATGAATGTAACTGTACTGTATCCCTAAAATGTACCAATAAATTCAATAAAATTAAAAAAAAAATCTAGTCTCCCATGAGTAATTTCCAATTAGTGATTTTTTTCTATAATGAAGAAAAACGTAGCTTATGAAGCAGGTAGGTAGCTATTAAATAAACAACACCCTTGGAATTTACAACAATAGCTAAGCTTAACATCTTTCAATACGTACTTATAGAGAGGTAAACAACAAATTTAGCAAGTTGTTAGTGTTGAAAATTCCCAAAAATTAGGGCACTTTAAAAACATCAGCAGAGTGCCAATAAAACAAATTAGTAGAAGATCATAAATCTCTCTTATACAAAAATACTCAAACAAACAAAAATTGTACATGCAGCTACTATATATCCCAACCATTGTGGAGGTAAGATATTTGGACTTTCCATTTGGAACTAGAGGGCAGCCAAGTTTCACTAATAAATTAGAAACTCAGCTAAATATTAAGATTTTAATAGCATAGTATTAAAGCATAGCTAATAAAAGTATTTAAAATGAAAGAAATGATAGGAATTAGCAATTTGATATAATCTTTTTTATTTAAATTTCTAACAACTGCATTAAATACAGAAAATATCTCCATTTCCCAGGTAGGGACTATTTCAAATTGATACTAACAAAATTGTTTTAATGCCACAGTTTCAGTTTGAAATCTGTTTCCAGACACCATTCTGTTTTCACTGTACCACACATAAAAACAACCCTTGAAGGCAGGACATCAAAGTGCAGTGTTCTTTCTTCTGAGATCAATAAAGGTATACTTGTCAGGGATTATTTAGTTACAAAAAGTATTACATGGCAAGGCTGGCAGTAGCATATTACAATCTCTGGAAAGGGTAGATTGTTCAATAAGTAAGGTTAGAAACCTAGATATTCACATGCAAAAGAGGAAATTGGCCATTTTCTTATACCATGCACAAAAAACAACTCAACATAGGTTGAAGACCTAAAGATAAGACCTGAAACTGTAAAACTTGTAGAACAAAACGTAGGTGAAAAATTCCTTGCCATTTGTCTTGGTAATGAGTTTCTGAACAGCAAACATTCAAGTAGGGAAACAGCAACAACTCAGACAACAAAAGCAAAATTAAACAAGTGAGACTTATCAAACTAAACTGAAATATTCAATAAAATGACAACTTTGAGAGCCAGAAATGTAAACTCAAGAGCATAAAGACTAATATTTATTTATTTAGTTAGTTAGTTTTCAGTACCGGGGATCAAACTCAAGACCTTGCACTTGCGAGGCAGGTGCGCTGCCACTGATCTAAATCCCTAGCCAAAATTCCCCAAAGAAAACATAAAACTGCCTCTAGCTATTTAAAATTTTTCTAAATATAACTAATCATCAGGAAAACCCAAATAAATTCACAAAGAGATATTACTCTATCAGAACCAGGATGCATATTATGAAAAAGACAATAAACTAGGCATGGTGGTGAACTTTTATAACCTGCAGCACTCTGGAGATTGAGGCAGGGTGATCTCAAGCTAGAGTTTAACCTGGGCCCTTTAGTGATTGAGAGAGACCTTGCTAGATGAAAAGAAGAGGGATAGAGAGAAGGAGAGAGGGAGAGAAAGAGGGAGGGAGAGCTGCAGAGAGAAAGAGAAAGAGAAAAGAGGTGGGGGAAGGTAAGTTTAGAGATTTAGCCCAATGCAAAATCCCTAGTACTGAACACACACACACACACACACACACACACACACACGCATGCACGCACACACAAGCGCAAGCACATGAGTGCAC